CTGAAAAATGCGTATTCTTTGTTGAACGCTAGGGAAATTCGTCGAATATTAAAATTCTGTTATTGTATACAAATTAATTGTAGGTGGTATTTTATTTCTAATAGTTTATACTGTGGGGATTAGTACAAGTTTGCAAATATGTCTTTTACCAAAAAAATCTTCTATTCTTCTTTTAATGTACAAGATAAGCATTATATATATAATAATATACAGTAATTTGAAATATTAGTCACTGTTCGTCTTTATTAACGTCAATAACAACAAAGCATCTCTTTTGGCGAGATATATCATTTGTTTAATCCTTTATCATTGACCTCTATTAAGGGATCTTCATGTCAAGCACATTATTTCGGTGAATCATTATGTTTGTATCCTGATTAAAAGCTGAAAAGATTCTCTAAGCTAAAGCTTGAGCTACTAATCAAAATACTGTTAATGAAATTAATTGTGTATCGGTCTCTTGTTATCCATGTAATTTAAAATCAGATTTAGCCAGTGAATAAGAAGTTATTTCAGGATTATTTGTCAGAGCTGTTAGTAAGGGGGTTTTCTTCGATTCATACTCAGAGTTGTATAAGGCCTTATCTCTTAATTTAATTACTGTTGATGAAGGAGCTTATAGTGTACAATTTGGTAAAGCCTGTGGTCCTATAATTGATATAAAGATTGGATTAAGGAATGCTTCAGACTTGAAGTTTTATGACTTCTTAGAGGATATGATCAAGAATCATTTTTAAATTGAATTATATAGCTTATTCCCCTCAACTTTTATTAATCCATTTGTAATATACCTGTGAGGAAATAAAATTAATGTCATTGAGTAATAATTTTATATTTAAATTACCATTAAATATTCGAACATATTATTTTAAGGTCAAGTGGATATTAGTCAATTATCTTTTATATTAGGCTAATATTTTGTCCCATTTTATTTTGTATTGTATATAGTACTTCGTATATTAATTTTATATTTTATTTCATTATTTGTAGTATGATAAATATCCCCTCTATCTTAAACAACAAAATAGCTGAGTATTGTTTATATTTTGAGACAAAAAAATAGAGCAGCTGTATCTCTCTACGGTTAATTGATGTGGATTTCATTTCGTATTAATCTTATTGGATAAATTTGCTCAAAATGTTTCATTTTTCTTCTTATTTAATCGTTCTGTTTATTTAAATCTCCGATGGCCAATTTGATGAGAAAGAATAGCTCAAATATCGTAAGTTAAAATGACTTAAAAGAGTACTATAAGTATCATATTGGAACCATTAGAGTTGAGAAATAGAAGTTAATGCACTTTTTTTGTAGTTTTTAGTTTAACTTGAACAAAACTAGAAAATTATTCTTATAAATTGCTTATTACTTTAAAAACCTTATTGTTTGATATATGTTCATAATATTGATTAAATCTTTTAAATCACCGCAATATGGAATTAAATATATTTCCCAAATTTTGCTCTCCCGTTGGTTGCTCTAGCTAGAATGAAGCGAATTTCCTCTCCAATTAATAATTTTGAATGAATTACCTTTTAGGTTACCTTAATTTGAGATGCGGTCATCAAATTATCACATTACAATTCCTTAAAAAATAAACTGGTTCATTGGTATAAAATATTAAATTAAATTCTTCCTTTCAGACTATTTGGAATTTAAAAAAATTTGAAGCATAATGTTATACAGTCAGAAACTAATTCTAAGAAAATCAGTGATAAATGGATAATGAAGTGTATGTGTATCTAATTCTACCATTAGCCCTGAAGAATAAATCAATGGCAATTCAACTTAAACATCTCATCATTAATTTTAAGGTAAAAATTAATATTAAATCTAGGGGATACTGTCTTTTTTGTCTATCTATTAGCAATGTCATACAATTCATGGCCATTAAAACTAAATTAAGCGTAAGTTCATTTTTTTCAAATTAACAACGGTGGTCTGTAACAGCATTGATTTTCTCCTCTTTGATTGCTTCAAAGCTCTCTGGGACCATCTTTGAATCCTGAATGCTTTAAATTTAAGCATTTCTGGGGACTCAAGATCACTTCGCATGTTAGGCTAATAATATATCAATTAGCAATAGCATTAACTTTGAATAATGTTTCCTAGCAACAGATTCAATTGAGGATTTTATTTTGCCGTTTTTTCATGCAACTGTATTCTGTACAAATGATGTCAAGATATTATCGAAATAAATAGAAATGAGACTTGAGTTTTCACGTGAATTCTTTTCAGGTAATTATGGACAAAGATTTTAATATTGCAGTGTACCAAATAACATATTACGCACTCATATGTAATAGTTAATAGTCAAAATATGTTGAAGCTATTTTAAGCTACAAAAAGATACAAAATATATAATTGAATATAGTACTCATTTACTCAATTAGGGATGTTTTTTTGAATAAACATATTAATTGTAAAGCGAATTTGACCTATACTTTTGTTTGGAACCAAAAACTTAATATTTACCTATGTACATTTTCTGGAACTGTTAACCACAATCTTTCCTTTAAAAGTATACTACAGAATCTCCATAGAATCCATTAATAACTCTTGAAAATACAATAGATTTCTTTTATTTGAAAAATCTACAATGATATTATATATTACAGAAAAAGGAATATGACGGCTCTTATAATTAGATGATTTTGGTTAAACTATCATTAATTGTTAGTTACTCTACACATCTCAAATGATGAGATTTAAACTGTTTAATGGCAAACTTTTTTCTAGTGATTTGTTGCTTTATTTAAATTTTGAATTAATTGTCAATTCTGTTGGTTTTATGTATCATTTTAATCAGACGTGTTTTTTTCGCAATATATGCTTATGTATCCTAACCATAGATCGACAATTGCTATATACCGCATTTCGATATCAAAATTCCATCTTTCGAACTGACGTGATCAAAAAATATAAAACAAAAATTTCACATCATGAAGATTTGGTAAGGCCTTTGACGAATGAAGAACAATGTTTTTTCCAAGAATATTAATATAGTTATGTTCTTGTAAGATCGCCCCTTCTGTGTGACAATTATTTTTGACTGCGTGGTGTCACATTTGATAAAGTAATCTTCCGATTATTTGGATCAATAAAATAATTATTTGTAATTCAAGATCTCATCAAGTAATTGTGCTTCTTTCTTTTTAAATCTCAACTTATTGATCGTGTACTTGCGAGGCGGAAAGATGATGGCATCGCCAGATTCATCATAATCATTTGAAGACGAAATCAATAATCACCACAATGAGATCTCTTGTACTAACTATACTGTAAATAAAATACTGGAAGAGAAATGCTAGTTCTGATCCTTTAAAGGTTATAGAGTCACTTTCCAAAATCTAATTTCCAGATCATTAAAAATTGAAAGTAATAGTTATAACAGTAAAAACAAGTCAAATCCTTGAAAAAATCAAATTTCGAATATTGGGGAAGAAATGGCTAAATCATTTACCATATTTTCAAACATAATAATATTGAAAATTTATTTATCAAATATATTTCATAAATCTAATTATCAAATTTTGAACTGAATTTAAAATTTATATAGAAAGCTAATGGTTATAATATCCTCCTTAAATCTAATATATTATAATTATATATTTTACTTTAGTTCTAAAATCTAAATTAAAATTGATGAAATAATTGTAATATGGATACATCTGTAAGCCTATCAGAGAAACAGTACGAGAATTATTTTTAGTGAACCGCCGATAACTAATTATTATTAAAATCAGATATTTATTACGATGTTTTTTTTAAAAAATACAATTTTTACCATATAATTGTGATATATTCTTAATTAAAAATAAACCATATTTTAATTGCTCTCTACAGAACATCTATAAATTTAATTCCATTCTTGACTGAATGGATAAATCTACTATGAACGTTTGTTTAGCATTATCTGCTTTTGTAATTCAAAGCCTCTTAATTAACTAAACAATATACTAAAGAAAAAAGAAATTTCTTGCTTCAAAACTGAGAAACTAATAATGGTTCTTCATTTTCTTAACAAAATAAATTAAGCAATATAATCATAACCTTAATTTTCTATTATCTATGTAAATTTAAAAAAATATCAATTGATTGATTTAGTATTGGTGATTATCACATCTACTAGAATAATGAAACAATACCAAGAGCAAAACATAAGAACATTAAACTCCAAACAAATATTGAGCTTAAAATTGAATGACTCTTAATTGTGGTAGATGCATTCTTATAAAACCCAGTCTGATAGACATGGTTAAGTGTAGTGGTGAAACCACTTTGGTATTCGGAATATAGTGAAGAAGACAGTGATGCTTTCATCTTACCGTCACTATCAAAATATTTAAGATTGTTAAACGGGTGTGGAAATAAACCATTTTTCTTTAACTGTTGGTAATCCCATTCAGGTGCATTCTCAGTTTTCCAGTTTGTGAAAAACCAACCATTAGTATAACTTGTATACGAAGATAGTTGAGCTTCGATAAATTGTCTAACCCTCTTCTTATATTCTTTGGGCCATTTGCCAATTGAGTTTTGGGATATACATGTTTGATTTTTAGCAAAAGACGAATAGATTGTTGAATTTGACTTGAAAGTACCGTCATATCTAGCACCTTCATCGACACCATTAAGCCATGTTGCACAATCAGTTAATGCACCAGACCAAGCGCCAATAATTTGTCTATGTGAACTTAGTTGTTGGCCAATCCAACCAGCAAAATGACTAACGCCATTTAGACGGATGTATTGACTACTAAATATGTCGCTCTCACTAAAAACTTGATAGTTGTGATGATCAATTATAATATCTGTTGATTTAAATGTATAATTCTTATTCTTGAAATATGAACTGTTACCATTAGCATAATATGGATTTAACTTGTCACTCCAATAGCCAATAGATTGGAAAGCATCATGGATAATAAAATTTGTCATCCAATCTGGATTATTAACTTTATTTTTGAGAATTTCATAATTATTTAAAGTATTTTCATAAAACTCTGTTAGCAATGTCATGTTTAATTCAGAACCTAAAGGTGCATTTACTAGTTCCAAACCGGCAATTATAGATGAGTTTCCGAGAGTTGTAATACTTTGAAAGAGGTCCATTAATAATGCAGAGGTAACTTCAGTTGAATTTGCCTTTTCTAACCAAGTTGGTTTATCCAATTTTTGTCCAGAGCTAGTGAACCCATTTTGGGAACCGGGAACACCATGTAAGTCGATGACAATTTGTAAATTGTATTTACCTGCCCAATTAAAAGCATTAGATAAATATTTATATTGTATAGTGCCAACATATGGATCCTCAAATATAAAATTCCCTGGATACACATTGGTAGTACCTTCTAACTTCCAAGCCCAGTAACCAATTGGAATTTTAACAGCGTTAAAACCATCATTACTAATTTGCTTGAAATCGTCTTCAGTAATCCAAGTTTTATAATGTTGGTCTAATAACGCCTTAGCATCATTGGATCCCAAGGCTTGACATAGAGTGTATTCATCAACGATAGTTATGTTTGAGTTTTTACCATTAGCAATTTTGGTGGCATTTTTATAAAGAGATGGTGTTATATAAGGTTCAGTAACTAACCAACCACCTAATGTAATACCTTTAAGATGTGTACCATTTTCTGCAAAAGTAAAATATTTGCTCTCCGGTTTAGAAGCTTGAATGTTCGACTCTGAACCTAGAGTCAATTGTAACAACAGAGAGATGATGGATATATAAGTGAGTGCAAGCATTCTTAACAAAAACAAATAATCTTAAGTCGGACTTGACCAAAAGTGAGTAGGTTTTATTTTAAAACGTTATCCAAAAAAAATCCCCACCAATACCTGTCTACAAAAATAAAACTATTCAGTTGATCCCCTCCAGATCCTATTTATTGAGGTAATCCTACTCACGAGAAATAAAATATTGTTAAACTTAACCAAGTGAAAAATATATTTTTATCAAGATATTGCCATTAATATATATGAATTCATTTCAAGTGATAATACGAACTCTAGTTCAACAATACATAATAAGTTCAGAAAGGAAGCTACTCAGAGTTAGGCAAGTAGAGCCAATAGTGAATAACCATGGAAATTTAGACCCACCATAATATATTATTTTTCGAATATCCAAAATTGGGACAGATGTAAACTAACATCCTATCAATGACGTACTGTAGATAGGTACGAAGCCTCCTCAGTAAATCAGTACCTTACCTATTGTTCTTTTAGTAGAACCAAGATAATGTTGTTAGTGGTCAACTGCATATTGTTACAGTTGTTCGAATTAACAAAAACAAATGGCCTTCCTTAGATCTTATTGATGATACAATCTGAAACATCCAACTAAATTCACATACAGACCATGTAATTGTTTGATGCACAGTGTTATCTGATGTTTTTGTATACTAGTCTTTAATTTCGTACAACACTGAATATGTTCAGCTTAAGCTGGTTGTTCTTCTGCATGAACTCTTTGAGACTGAAAATTTTTTCATCGTTCGATTCGAAAATTTTGTAGGAACTGCTCTCTGGGAGATCTTAAAGAGAAAGTACACAATATTGTCGCAGCTAACTTCGGAATGTCAAACCTCCTCACGACCCTATGTCAATTAATTCTAATAAATTAATGCTTCTGGGAAAGCTATGCAAGCTAGTGCTACAATTGATATTAGGGTAGATGATGCTTATCCTATTTTAGTTAATTACATCTTTTGTTGTCCTTTGGCATAATAGGATTTTCCAAGTATTCCATATCTATTGCAAAATGAATATAATTCCAATTTCGAATTATTTCAGGTGTCTATTTCAAATAAAATCGTTGTGCTGATGTTGATAATATGCAGGCGTTAATCAGTTGAGCTGTGGAAAGATAAGTTAATGGAGCAACCGGAGAGAACAGAATGAGTGTATTGTTTTAACATAGCTTCATAAGAACTATCGCATCAGGAATACTCCCAATAATACGTTCTATTATTGTTGAGACTAATAAAGATTAAAAGCAACTGTTATTTGAAATTAATTTATATTATTGTATATTATTTACTTACCTTGCACATTAGAAGAAGAGTATATAATTTCTTTGGTAATATTTTTATCTGCTAACTTGTACTAGTCTTCACTATATTGACAATTGAGTAAAAGCAACACCAGCACGTATTCAGCTTACACCAACTAGATATCCATAGCGTAAGGAACTCACTCGATAATTTTATATGTATTTTATATTAGCGCGCGACAAAGAATACTTAAGATAGTAGTGTTCACGTAATATGGATATCCAAAAATGGAAAATTGTTTGTATGTAAGGTAACTATACCGAGGTACCGAGGATTGTGTGGTAACCAACTCCTAAATATTTGACAGTCAATTACTACTAACTATTTTAAATTATGTTCAACCGATTTGCTCCAATAGGCAAACCAATCTGAAAAGAAAAGAATATCTCTTAAATATTAAAATCAGTTTAAGAAAAGATGAAAATGTTAAAGTGAGCTGTTTAGCGTCTTGGAAATACCTTTTGGAAGGTAGAAGGCTCTCTATATGTCTTTCTCGAAAGAAGAATATGTTTGGATTCTATTATAGGAGCTCGATGGTGAAATATGATGATATTATCGAGTATTGCTTCTTTAAACCATTTTAGAAATTTTCGATTAACTGCAGATTGATTATATTGATATCGAAGGGCGTTTATAAAAATCAAAAATTTGTAATTATAGATATATATACAAAAATATTGGTCATTTTTAGGGTGTAGACCGTAATCACAAAAGCACCTTGTTATACTATTCAAGATAATTAAAGAAAATTATACAATGGTAAATATATTTCTATTATATTGTTCCAGTGTTACTCAATACCTACGAATGAAACATCATGAACATTTTACCTCCCTTGTTTATATATTACAATATCATTTCAGAATTCCCCAAGCAACAAAGTAGGTACCTTACTCGCGATGGCGAATGTCAATGGAATGAACTCGAAACTTAATATAGGCGATGCTCTATATCAGATTTTATTAATATAATGATCGGCTTTGTTTATTGCCATATTATAGCCTCCCAGAGTTTAATATTTTGGAATATCGCTGATTCTAATAAAATTTCATTGCTGTCGAAGAATTTTTCAAATTTAATCGATTTGAAATTTATCCTCAAACTAAATTAATAAATATGATTAAAAATGAGGATTCTATTATACCAGTAATTGCTACCAAAGAATGATTGCTAGTTCATATTTGTCATCTGCTGTATATTACATACAAAGATATTGTTATTATTTGATTTCTTTCGTAATTGTCATTATTTGGTTGTGGTATGGCTTTTCAAAAAATGATGTACCTTCCTAGCCTACTAACTAAATACATTCATTAACATTCTGTATATATAATTATTCTAGTGTTTTTCCATGGCCTCGATCTTGAATTTAAAATGATTGTAGTATCAAATAAGAATTTTTTTGTAATCATAGACTCTGAAAACAAATCGTAGGTCATTAAACATCTAAACTATCTTAATACTATCAATTAAACCTTATCTTGCACTGTGGGCATCTTTAGAAAATCATTTCTATAAGAGGCAATCATTAGTATAATTTTCCATATTTTAAAAAAATACAATAGAACTTTTTTTTAAAATAAGACAATGATAAATATATTTCAGATTAATCATATATGAAAAATTAGGATATAAAATTTGTCAATATATATCCTCGCTTTTGAGTGAGGAACCAGATATATGAAGTATTGCATACTTGTATCAATATACCAGATAGTGAGCTGGAATTATCAAACTTGAATAATAAAGATTGTTACTATTATCTTTTAAATAAAAAAAACAAACATGTTCAGATGCTTTTTGTATTGGTATTATATTGGAAATTTGAAATTAATTGCAATTCGATTATTCGTGTCCTCAATAGAACTTGTATTAATTATATTCTGTGTTTCATTGTCTATGCATATTTCTCCGGCGTGCCCTTCTCCTACTTTCAAGTTTACGATGGTGCTCAACATAATGTAGAACTAATGCTTCGCAAGTTATTGCTACGGTCAACATTGGGACCCCAACAATGCCCAAACTATCAGCAGCACTCTGTTCTCCAACAAAAAGATCGGCAGAACGTTTGATAAAACCATAAAACGAATCTGCAAAATCCTTAGTGTAATACGCAATTTTAGGCTTAGGATTACTCGGTATAGGACGATTATTAATATCCTCTAATAGCAATAATTCATACTCACTGTCCTCTGAAAAAAGTGATAACATTGTCAATTTTCTATTCCATTTCAACTTCTGGCCTGTAATATTTGAACTATAGTTTTCAGTTCTTAAATCTCTTTTCATACCAATTGGATCAATGTTAACGGTGTGCAGGTATTCAAATTGATACTCCTTGGTAAAACCTAACTGATCGCATGTGACTTGACAAAATGGTGTTTTATACAACGTATGGGTTTCCGATTCAATAATTATTTCAAACTTATTATAAGGTGGGGGCTCATTCTTGGATTTCATCTCATAAATATAGATTATAAAACTCATTTTTTTCATTCCTAAACAAAATCCAATGGTAGATGTGACCTTGGAATCAAACAGGCCATCTTTCCTACTAATAATATGCAACAATGGCACGCCAACTCCGCTTGGATCTAACTCATTTTTATTCTTAGAGCTTTTAAACTTTTCAAAAGATTGAATTGAACTGAATGCAAAATAACCCTCACCTTCTAGTACTTTAGCAATGATTAAATTTCTTCTCCTGGAAAAATGATAACAAGTTGGGATATCATTACTTGTAGTAGTTAAAACCTTATATTTTCCCTCAATTGATGATCTATTAAGAGCTTTACCTAGAAAACCTACCATTCACAACTAATACCTTTTTCGTTCAAATATTCAGGAAATATATTAGCTCTCCAAAACCACACTAGTAGTTAACCAGAAAAGTTTGTCTCTATAGAGTTTCCTGATTACAATGCAACAAACACCTCAGAATCAGAAGTTATTGATAACTGTAATTGTAAAGTTCTTTCAGTTTATATACTTCAGTAAGAGAATTATATCAAAGTTCCTCCCATAGTACTCAATTGTAGGCTTAATACGAAGCTTTAGACTGAAGTTCTGGATACATTGAATCCTCTTATCAATACTAGAGGCTTAGTAGTGATTGATATCTTAACTAAAACGTTTCGAATTTCTCGAATGTTGTTACGGTACTATCGTCATCATGGCAACACAAAGGGAACTCGGAGAGATGAAAATTTGTAACAACAAGGAATTTTACTGTTAGGGTAATAACTCAGTTACAGCAAGTCAAGGCTTATTAGAAGAGATGATGGCGTGGTTTGGCTTGTAAAAGCTGATGTTCCTGAGGCTATGATGGGAAATGTAGTTATCCAGAAATTTTGACTCTCAGTAATTACAGTTACCATACGGTTTTTATCCTTGAGGAAGGTTCAGACACTGGAAAGATACGTTTTCCCTCAGATAAAAAAACTGCTGTATCAGAAGTCTCTCCTGCCTAAGTATTTGTGGATAAAATAGTGGGGTGTCTTAGAGTAGATAAGTTTAGGTATTTGCCTTGGTTCACCATCTCGTTTGGTCTTATTATCGCCAATTACTGTAGTATCAAGTACGTGACAATATTGTAGGATTTATATTGAAAAATGGATATGTATTTAGCTGCTAAGTAGTTTTGCTATGTAATATTATTTACAGAGCAGCCTAATTCACCTGGGAACTGAATCCGGCATTAAAACATGAGTTTCTATATTCTTTCTGATCTGCTTATTAGTGAAATTAACTATGGTAGTACTCTCTTTTTCATTCTCATTCAATAAGAGATCTAGAGCATTCCAGTAAATAACATTAATATTATTCCTGCATTAGTAATATTTCGTGTTATAAAGTTATATTTGAATCAAATAAATTTTAAATACCATTTTATTTCAAGTGAAATTCACCTGGACAGTTAGACAAGGAGTGGAAGCGATAAACTGATCTGATACACATAGACACCAGCTAATTGATATTAGATATTCTTAATGTTTGATATGCAAATGTTGCTGGAAAAATAATTTCGTTCATTACATTAGGTAGAAATAGTTCCATCATTCACCAATAAGATATATACTAAAATTTTCCCTCTTTACTTTAATCATAAACTTTTGTCATTTATTCTCGATCTTTTCTTTAAACTTTAAAGAAGCAGGCTATTTGGTTTTTCAATAAATACAAAACAATGTTCATTATGTTTCTAAAAATTTCATAGATTGCAAACATAAATTGAAAGGTGGGAGGTTCACGAATAAAAGCAAAATCCGGATAAATCTTAGAACCCAAACTAGTGGCATATATATATAAATTTGAATGGTATTAAAATTCAACTGTCCATTTAAATCCAGAATTAATGACCACTTGTCTCACATGTACCCTGGCAATAATATTAATTTATATTTAGGCATTTATGTTTTTTTTCCTTTCTTTTCAATTTCCACCAACAAAATAATTTTTTTACAACTATTATAAACCAATGTTATAAAAGCACCAAAAATAAATCGAAATATACTCATGAAATAGTCTAATTTACTTCATTTCCAAATGCAATTTAAATAAAACAATCCAGTTTAATACTAACAGACATACCCTTATGTAAATTAATATTCACCGTAAATGTTCACATATACAACTTTCATTTAATCAATCAGTACTACACTATTCAAGAAAATATTACAAATGGCTTCCTCTCATCATAAAAATCATTTTTATAGGACATTTTAACACTATAATGTAGCTATTCTCTATTATAGATTTTCAAAACTCATAAATCTTAAACAAAATAAATCACGAGGATCCCATACAACAAAGGCAGTTCAAAGCAAAAATAAAATTCTTGTTTTAATCATCTTTCTATGTCACCTTCTGGGTCTTAAGTTCTCATAGTTAATCTTTCTCATAAAGGTTGAATGCGCCTGTTCATTTTCTTTACAATCTGATAAAATAGGAGTAAAAGATACTATAGTTCAGGATCTAGAAATCCAAACAAATTCACAATGACAATTCCCAGTTCTCCAAGGTTGGTCTTAAAAGTAATTAAATTATTTGAATTCTTGATCCATGTTTCATCCATTGGGCATTATTTTTATTAGAATTGTGATTCTCTTCCCTATTGATATTTGTCCTTTTCAATTAAACGAATTCACCATATTGTTGAAAACTCTATTAAATAATTAAGATCTGCTCTCTTCAGTTAATCTTATGATCATCCCTCATCTTCTTATCACCCTCATCTTCTTATCACCCTCATATCCATTAATCAAACTGTCTTAAATCAAAACTAATTGCTTGATATCATTCTCTTATTTTAATCCTACGAATAATGTATATTAATATTTTTTCAATTTTGGTGTTGGTCCTTCCAACAGCCACAGTTTACCCTACCTCGACCCAAGTGAGATATCTCGCTACCAACACATTAGTACTAATAAACACAAGTAAGAGGTAATATATGAGGACTATGCAACGCACTGATGCTGAACATAGCCATGTACACGACCACAGTCACACTTATCAAAGTAATGACGCTCCTGAAAGGAATGACATCCAACAATGTCATTCAGCCACACTTCACCAAACACATATAAAAGGATTATGAAACCTCCATTTTCCAATCCTGACTTTTATGAACACCTGATCTATATCTCCTATTATAATTTAGACTACATATATTTATTAGATGGTTTCTAGCTTGAAGGGACCAGTTCGAATTACTCACACATACTTTAAATACTATAATACTTTTACTATTTCAAGACTATCAAGTCTATATTAAATATCTATCAAGATCCCTAAATCAATTATTATACAAGTCTACCGGGCTTGTCATCTTATACGTCAAAAGGTCCAATATTGGTATTGGACCTTTTAGCGTATGAAATGACAAGCCTCGTTGACTTGTATTATAGTATAAAATATGTGTGTTAGCAAAGTATCTATTAGTGACTTGTGTGTCTTATAGATGTGTATTTGAGTATAAAATATATATGTGTGAGAATTCGATCTGGTCTCTTTTTATAGGGACCATCCAAAGAAGATATATCTAATAACTAAACATAGATTATAACTTTATGGTGACAGGAATAAGACCATGTAAATGAGCTTTTAGATGGTCCTTTTATATGTTTCCTCGAGGATAGAAGAATGTAGGTGAAACAGACGACGTGGAGTTTCTTATGAATCTAACTCATGAGCTGTCATAATTATGGATACATCTGTGAACATATCTGTGTCTGTCATCTTATTTATGTTTGTAGGTTGTAATATGTTGGTAGCGAGATATTTCACTTGGATCAAGGTAGGGTAAACTGTGGGAAAGACCAACATTGGAAGTGCATCCGGGTAATCAGGATTCGGGTTAATTATATTAAAAGACAGTATCAGGACTACATTCCATAGCAGTGTCCCATGCTGCAGATAAGTTGACATCACAGTAAAGTTTAGAATCCATATCAAACCTAAGAATAATCTTGTCCCAATTAGTCATCGAATAATTATATGTTTTTACATATTCTTTTAGGGTCTACATAAAATCTGATCGGTACTACATCTAACCATCTTCAATCTAGATTGCGAATTATCTATTCAAGTTCAAACATCTGAGATCTAGGAAATTCCCAGTTGGAGAATAATATTGGAAATAACAATTTCTCTGATATCTATTTATGTCACCGGTGTAAGTAGAGAATTGCAGTGAAGGAGAAATGCTAAACTACAGAACATAATAAACTTTTGAGGTTAGATCCAAAACTTCCATTAAACTCACACTTAAAATTGTGTCGATAAACGTTGACACTTTCGTTTCAATATATACCTATTATCCTAATTCAAATGTAACTAAGATCCTATCTCCGAGAGATAAGAAAGATGAGACATAGAAAAAAAATATTAAACGGAACAAGCAATGAAGGTAGTTGATCGGCAATCCATTAGTTATTTTGCTTTTGAATAATTTTTCATTCTTCCACGATGTCTAATTTAAGACTAAATTCTTGAGGAGAGAAGTCAGAATGATCTTTAGAATGTAGAAAACGCACAATTGTTTGTTGAGAAAGATAATTAATTTCTTATTCATGCTCTTAAATTAAATGATAACTTTATAGGTTCCTAATATTGCTTATATAATTCCAATCTTAGTGAAGCCAATTCTGTCCATGATTTCAAACTACATCAAGAAGTAGTTTTGAAATCCTAGTAATAACACCTAATTTTATTCAAGTCTATCATTGTTAATATATCTATATATGTATGAATGTATGTATGTCTTATAAAATGTTAAAATTATGAATGTAGATTTTCTAAATGGATATCTTTTAGAAATAAAAATTTCTTCAATGAGATAGTGGTGTTAATATACCATATTTTTTCAGTTAGTGAAACTGGATTTGCTACGCAAAAATGCACCATATTTGTAAATCACAAACGGTATTAAAGAAACACCAACACCAATGAATCCTAACAATGAAGAACCCCAACCTACTGGATACTTTTCACTTCCCAAATTATTGAACATAGCTTGACCGAATAATGGAAATGCGGATGCAAACCCTGCACGCATTAAACCATTACCAGCAAATACAGATGCTACATGTTCAGGATAACTCATGCCTAAATAAGCAAAAACTGTTTGAAATATGTTAAATGTATTAATGACAAAAAATACTTCGGCAACTATTGGTAATATCCAATGGATACCAGCTGTCCACCCAAAGAAGAATAAGGAAAATGGAAGACACCAGCTTACAATCATTGAAAGAACCATGAAATCTTCAGGAACAAATAAACCATTTTTGAATCTTGGAGCTAAATACTTTGAAAGGAAAATCAAGTAAATTGCATATGCAAAAATACAACCCACTTGGAAACCCATAAATGCCAGACCCAATTCAACAACTGTGAAATGATAAATTCCAACGAACACAATTGGGAAGGCTTCGAAGAATAGGTAGAAAATACCATAACAAAGCGCAATGTATACATCGAAGGCTAAAACTATAGGTTCCTTAATGATAATTTTTATTGGTTTGTAGAGAGAAGACAATATAAAACTCTTCATATCCAATTCTGATTCCTTCTTCTCTGCTGTGGTGTAATACCTCTGATCACCAGTTTCTTTTCTTAACCTTCTTGCACGACGAACTAAAATATTATCATGATGAGTTTCTGGGAAGAAAAATATCAGAATAATCAAAGTTGCGGCACACATCCATAGTAGTAACCAAAATATCCATCTCCAATCCTTTGCTTCTAAGATAGCTGCCCCCAATAATGGTGCCAAAACAGGAGCTGCAATTGCACCTACTGCCCATAAACCTAAAACTACAGGAACAAGTTCAGGTTTCATAATGTCGGTAACTGTTGCACCCCCAGTTGCTAATGCAGGAGAACAGAATATACCACTGATGAAACGAATAACAACCATACCACCATAATTCTTCACTGTGGCAGCTCCAATTTGGAATATGCAAAAACAGAAAAGTGTAATTATATAAATGTTCTGACGCCCCAATGTAGCAAACTCTGATAATGGTGAAAATATTATAGGACCAATACCATACCCTAGAACATATATTGATAAGTTCAAAGTTGCTGCCACATGCCCGACATGGAATTCCTTTTGAACCGCTTCTTGACCTGGTGTATAAATTGAAGAACCCATATATGTTACAGCAGTAAGCAGCATCACCTGCAAAATCATTATGGTTTTTTTAGGTGTAGACCAATTATATGGGTGTTCTGGATCTTCATCTCCATTCCAATCTACTAAAAATGGATCCTTATTTATTGTTTCATTATCAGTATTTTCTTCAGCTGAACTACTTGTGGGGATCAATGAATTTTGATTATTGTTACTAATGGAATTTTTCTCTATATCCTTATTATCATCATTTAAAGTTACTGTTGCGCTGTAATCAGTTGTAGAACCTATATTTGAAGTTTCACTTATTTTTAATAAATGGAGGTATTCCAAGACATCAGTAGCAAAACTATTTTTGTAGGTATCGGAATACATTGTAATCCTAGGTGTATCCTTGACTTTTTATCTAAATTGTTTTTAACTAGAACAGGTTTTATTATATTATAAATAATTTACTGTTTTTCATTAATAATTATTTAAGTTCCAAATACAAAGGTCATGATTCGATTTAGTTTTGTAAATACTATCATATTTATATTCATGATTAATTTGCTAGCTGAAAGAAAACAAATACCACTGGTGGAACAGTTCAGATCAACTAAAGAGAATGGATTATTATTAATTAATAGAATATAAGAATGTACAACGCAAATATAGGTGATTATTAATGAAGATATCATATAACCATTACTTTTTCCTCTTCGAAGAAGATATCTTGCTACAGCCTTATATTCGAAATGGATCTAACATGGTTATAATAGGGCTGTATCATGGATATAGTAGTTTTTTGATGGATATTAGAGAATTTTTCTTCGTTTCAAGCGGAAATAAAAGTTCTACTCATTTTTCCCCGAAAAAGAAAACCCAGTCAAAAACACATCTTGTACGTAAATATTTACTGTAAGCTTCCAAATTTAGGTTGTGAGATTATTTCGAATTAACTATCTGTTAAGCTACTTAGCCTCTTAAAGAAAAGGAAATTAAACTATCCTTACTCTGTAATCTTTGACTGATTTTTCCGAGCATTAATTATTGAGAGGGGAAAATAAACTGTCCAAGGGAGGATATAGCACTAAACATTGAGTTTTCCGAAGCGACGATTAAAATAAAATGTCGGATTAATTTAGTGAAATCATAGTTCTAAATTTTTAAAATTGAGCTTCTAGGCCACGTATCATATCTTATGAAACAACTGTAGTAAACCAGTAACTAGATTCCGGTAATGGTAAACGCACTCTCGGAAATAATTAATGAGAGTAGTGTTTTGATTGCTCTTGGCTTATTAAGAAGTTTATTGTATAAGAAGAGCTGATAGGGCAAGCCTAATGATGTAACTACTTCTCATTGGTTTCTTGAAACAGAAAGTCAGGATTGTGTATTTAATAATGTTAGCAAAGGTTATAGAAAAAGTAAGTCATTTGGAATTCCGGATATCATCTGAACAGTTGATCTAGGAAATGTAATTTGTCTTGGCATAGTCACAAGTTTAAGTTCTTATAGAAAACTTCTCTTCGGAAGTTAAATAGCACTTGTACTGATGGAAGATGTTCGGGAGAAAGTATTAACAGTTCAAATGTAAATAAAATTGGCAAACCAGTAAATTATTTTGGATTACACCCTATCTAGCATACCACCTCTGATAAGAGCCTAACATTTATTTTCAATTGAAATGCTGAAGTAGCTTCAAAGGTTCATTTTTGTATATGTGCACTTTAGAATAGTATAAACTGAGGTACTAAAGTTTACCATAATCTTAAATATCTACGTAACTTCTAAAATTTCATTTCTATCCATACTAAAAGTGCAGGAGCTCTTTTAGAGAATTCTTATTTTTTTTCGTTCGATTTGAACTAATTCCCACATTTTCTTTTTATTCTTCTTCTCAATAAGGCTATTATTTATCTCTATTTCGATGCAGAATCTTCTACTTTAAATTTCTAAAATAAAGACATTAGTTAGCGATTAAGTTTGGTTTCATAAAAGGATGAAGAAGGCAGATATGTGAGTACTTAAATTATTGTTTTTTTAAAAACAAAACAGAGAAAATTAAACTAGGATGAAAAGGTATCTACCATTGACATTATGAGTTTCAAGGATTCATATAATGAAGACTTATCAATAACTTTTAACGAAAGCATTTTGGAGTTGGTAAAATACGAATGTCGCAAGTTCGATGACTATAGGATACTCGGAAGTTATCTTATAATTTAATCAGTAACAGATAAATTGCCTTAATATATAATTCCTTGTTTATTCTTGACACTTCCCTTACCAAAGATAGTTCCATGAATTTATGATTCCTAAACTCTGCTCAATTAACATTTTGCATCTCAGAAGTTCTTAGTATTATATTGACTACCGCAGAGTTTTCTGCGTTTTATAAAAATTTATTAGTATGGAATTTATATTTTCTTACAAATTAATAACCAAAATAACATTTCAGTAATATTTTTATTATATATATATATATATATATATATATATGAAATTTAGGATTCTGGAAACTCCTCCCGTTTAATACTCTTCTACAATTCTTAAGTGGTGAACCTAACTGGAATATTCACTTCCTGATTAATAAATACCATTAAAACTGATTGATATCAGTTATACCTTTAGGATATACTATTTTCTTAACACTACTATATGCTAATTAAATAAGAGTTCATAAATATCTAAAATATATGTAATCATCAAATATTGAGTGTTCAATTTGGTTTCGCAGTCGCAGTTTAATTTCCAAATTCCTTGTCAAAATCAACTAGAGTGAATCTGTACTTTACGTCACCTTTATCCATTCTTTCAAATGCTTCATTGACACCTGCTTCTCCGACAGGCAGTGTTTCGACCCAAGGCTTAATATCTTTTTCAGCAACAAAATTTAGCAAATGTTCAATCTCTCTTCTAGAACCAATTGCACTGTTGCCAATAGTAACACCAATTAAGCCAAATGGTTTTAAAGTTAACACTTCGTCAGCAGCCGGTGCTGAAATGGAGATGATCTTGGTGTTGACCTTCATTATCTTTGTCAATTCATCAAAGTTTATATCTGTTAAGGAAGAAGCACAGATAACTAGTAAATCTAAAGTATCGAAGTACTTAGTAGTCCAGTCCTTGTCTTCTAGAGTGGCAATAAAATGATCAGCACCTAATTTTTTAGCATCAGCTTCCTTTGAGTGAGTACGTGAGAATGCATATACCTCGGCACCCATGCCCTTAGCAAATAGAAGACCCATATGACCAATACCACCAATACCGACAATACCAACTTTTTTTCCAGGACCACAACCGTTTCTTAATAATGGGGAGTATACAGTAATACCACCACACAGCAATGGAGCAGCTAATTCATTTGATAACTTGTCTGGAATAGGGATAGCAAAGTGTTCATGTAATCTAATATGAGATGCATAACCACCTTGTGAAACATATCCATCAATATATGGAATACTATAAGTCCAAACAGACTTTGGACAATAAGATTCGTTATCACTTTTACAACGACTACACTCTAAGCATGACCATGCTTGAGCACCCACACCAACTCTATCACCAACTTTGATTCCAGTAGTACATTTGGGACCAACTTTTAAAACACGTCCAATAATTTCATGGCCAACGACTTGTTTCTCAGCAACTGGACCCCAATGAGATGCAGCACAATGAACATCTGAGCCACAGACACCACAGGCTTCGATTTTAATGTCAACATCTTTATCGTTAAATTGTTTTGGTTCAAAAGTAACCTTTTTTGGATGCTTCCAGTCTTCACGATTGGTAATACCGATACCTTGGAACTTTTCTGGGTAAGACATTTTTGCTTTTGTTATCGAATTAGATTAATAAGTTTGAATAATAATACTTAGTTATTATATCTCAGAAACTTAATAGGTTAGATTATTATTACTTACATTAAAACATATTAATGCAAGAGTTGGAATGGAAAATGAATAAAAATTGATTAAAACAAGGGCTCTTTTATAGTTGATGGTTTGTATGACGTTGCTTGAGTTATTCCTGTTGAAAGATCCTTACAATTTTACGAAACATTTCGAAATTGATTAAATTTGGTCAACATTCTTCAAAAGGGTATGGATACTAGTATTGACCGAACCGAGCCGAACCGAGCCGAGCCGAAGAAGTTTGGTGGGGAATGAAAAAGAAAAGAAAAATGGGAATTACCGAGCCGAGAGAGCCTGGAACAAATAACTAGTCATCGGAGCCGAGGACAATCAATAATTGAAAGGCTATTAGTAAGGGAAAACGTTATCAAAAAGGACGTAATATAACTTTGGTATTACATTATTCACGTAAGTTGTGCTTTTCCTTATAATATTATTGGCTTATTAAAGTTAAACTTCACTCTTTTAAGCAGTATTGGTATTTTCATATAGAACAGTAGGTGTACTGTCTCATTTGAAGGGACTTATTTTGATGTTGTTTCTTTATATTTGGGCTATTTAACTTAAAGTAATTGAATCATTAATTAATGAATCGATCTTTGCAAAATGAATTCAAGCGGAGACTTGATATACATCAGCCGAGTAACCCAAAAGATTTAGGAAAAGTAATAGTAGTTCATTCACTAGTAGAATATTTAAATGAAATTGGTTAAGATGTGACAGTAAATATATCATATAATAGTTTGTTGCTACAAAATGGTATAAAGTTTACTTACAATATTTTAAAATAAAAGTTGAATTTATAATTATATATAAATACGATAATTAAACCTTAACCTAATTTATTCACCTGTATAACCTAATTCAAAAACTACATTTTTATATTTTCATCAGAATTAGTTAACCCTCAAAGTCAAAGAATCAAGAGATTTAAAAAGGTATATCTTAAATAACTAGATTAAAAATGTCTTTAGTTGAACACAAAAAATTTGGAAACACTGGAATAAAAGTATCTCCGATTATTATTGGATGTATGTCTTTCGGTTCAAAATCATGGGGTGAATGGATTCAAGATGACAAAGAAGAGGTATTCAAAATGTTAAACATGCTTATGATAGAGGAATTCGTACATTTGACACAGATAATGTTTATAGCAACGGTCAAAGTGAAATTATTTTGGGTGAATTTCTGAGAAAATATAAGATCCCTAGAGAAACTGTTGTTAGCATGTCAAAGTTACGTTTTCCAGCAGATGAGAATATGGAGATAGATTTAATGAATATGACACCAGAAATGAAGATAAATGTAGTTAACATGCAAGGTTTGTCAAGTAAAGCCATTTTCAGCTCTGCAAGGGGCTCTGTCAGAAGATTAGGAACGTATATAGATGTGTTACAAATTCATCGAGTTGATCATGATACTCCTTTTGAAGAAACTATGAGAGCCTTAAATGATGTTGTTAATGAAGGTTTGGCTAGATATGACGGTGCTTCTTTGATGTTAGCAACTGAATTTGCAGAAATGCAATTCGTAGCCGAAAAGAATGGCTGGTTTAAGTTTGTCAATTCTCGGTCCTGTTACAATTTGATGTATAGAGAAGATGAGAGAGAATTGGTTCCTTTTGCCAAAAGACATAACATTGCGTTAACCCCATTTTCTCCATTAAATAAAGGGCTATTATGTAGATCTCTTGGCACAGAAACAACGAGATATAAAACAGACTTTGTCATTAGTACTAGAAATTTAAAGAATTATGCTGAATGGGAAATAGAAATTATTAATCGTGTTGAAAGAATTTCTATAAAAAGAAATATCTCCATGTCAAACATATCATTGGCATGGGTATTGCAAAAAGGTTGTTTCCCGATTGTTGGTTTTAGTTCTATTGAAAGAACTGATGAGGCCATTGATGCCCTTGATGTAAAGCTAACTTCTGAAGAAATGACATTCTTAGAAGAGCCTTATCAACATAGACATTTATATGGATAATAGGTGGTATTTTATTTTAAAGCGGTTGGATTGTGTAAGAAAATAGAACTCGAAAGTTAGTTAAACCCACAGAACGCTAACATCTATTAATATATAATCATGAACTGTTTTCAGAACAGAAAAGCATCTAGTTAGAAAAGTGTATATAAGCAGGATACTCAAAATATATGGGGAATAAATATTCTAATTTAATCTATGGTTCTTCTAAGTTATTTTTTATAACATATACTTCGTTTCATTGAAATCTTAGGTAAAAAATTATCTATTGATATTTTTTAGTCCTTTCGTTTCTGGAATAAGCATTCCTTCCCTATAAGTGTTGTAGTGATTTGTTCTTTGGGGCGCTGCTTCGTCTGAATTGGAAGTCTAACTTAGCATTTACAAAATATCCTTTTAGATATCACAAAATACCTAAATTTTACTATGGAGTACTACGTAGCTTAACCATAGTGGATTGATATTACAGGATATATATTTTCCTTAATTTTTTTAAGCGACATAAACTACGTCGGGTTTCTAATAAGTGATAATAGCTTACAGTATTATAATAAGTTTATCAAATCCTTGAAAAACTTGGATATGGGATAGTAGAAGTATTGTGTTAATATTTAAAAGTTATTTAGGTGTTTTGTTATTTTTGACCATCAGGAGTCAAAAAAAAGACGGAGATACATCTTATTTCAAAAAAGATAATTTGAATATTAACTAATAATTCCAACTACCACGCATATACGTATCTACAACTTTTTAATGGCGAAATACTAATTAAAATAATATATTAAATAACTTGTTCGCTATCGTATATTTTGTAGCTATAAGCTTAATTCTAGCTTAATATAGGGAAATATATTTTCCTTATAAACAGTAAAATGTCAATTGTTGGATTTAGATCATTTAAGATATAGAATAACTTTCCATTATTATCATGATTGGTTATTTTTCTTCTTTACTTCTTTACTTTAAAGGAAATAGTGTATATGCCTTTAAATAGATGAGAATTTAAACAACAAGATAAAGATTTAAACTGAAAAATATATCTCTAGAATTTTGTTATCATAAATTTGTGGAATCGCATTCAGATGTAGGTAAATATACATATTCATATAAAGACATTATTTTTATAATACAATTACAAATCAAAGTTTAGGGATAGGGATTCCTGCATTGGTGGTATTAAAAAGTGATGTTGTAAGTCCTAAAACAATGGATGCTAATAAAATAACTTTTTCAACAAAAAGAACTCTATTAGCCGTATTATATCTTAAATAATAGAATAGGTTAAAAAATATTTCAGTGAAGGTCATCAAAGTATAACTAATAATTTTACCATTTTCAATATGGAGCTTTTCTAAAGTTGATCCTATATATCCATTACCGAGATTAGAAGTCATGAACTGAAACACAACTAATGATAAAAAGGTATGCTCTACAAAGTTTCTAACTACTTTGAATACTGACTTTTTCCCTAAGGCAATATATTGGTTGTCATTTATAGCTTTCCCCAATCCAACATATTTTATTCCAGATGCACCTGCAACTGAAATTTCAAACTCTAATCCTTCATACTTCAACGATTTTATTGTCATTGACTAGTCGACTATCTGTAATTAATAGAATGTGATAGATTCTATATCATCATTAATTAGTATCTATTTTGAATCTGAACTCTATATGTTCTAAGAATCTTATTTTAAGTGTCTAAACTCTCTCGATTACGTTTAGATATCCAATTTGGAGCATGATAAAGCTTACCCTACCTTAAACCAGTCGAAAACTCTCGCTATCAAAATATGCTAACAGGGACTCGTATAGCGTCTGTTCATTATTATTATTCTATAACAAGTCCAAGGCTGTTTAATCCAAGAGAATTCACCCTAGATTGTAAATTATCCTTTCATAATTTATATTTTGCAATTTAGTTTGGAGTAACATAAAAGAGAAAATTATTTCTCTCTTTCATCTAGTAACTTTTTAAGTATCTGACAATATACTTCTCTTCTGGAACAATGAACCAATAATTCGTCAGATCAGGAAAATTACTCATCTCTGATTCAAATAATTTGATTTATTCAATTTTGTATTATATTTATCCTTGCTACATATTGCTAATATTAGATTATCAACTAAATTTTATCACCAATCTTAAATGGACTCAATTGACTTTCACGTGATATTATAACGAAAGATGTAAATTTAGTATGGGTGCCTAGCTTTCTCTGCTACCTGTCTTAAATTAGGTACATTAAATCCGAAAGCATCATATCCTATTTCTTCATGCTTCTTGTTAATCCCTACAAAATAAACCTTATGCAACAAATCAATATCATAAAGTCATTCAATCTTTAATGTTATTTGGGTTGTCCATTGTCCATAAAACTATGGTATTGTGGTTTGCATTATTTAAGTGGTTAGATGAATAATTATTGATAGAAATAGATATAATATATTTGGGTTCTTATTTAGCTTTGGTTGATTTTAATTATGAATTCTGACACGTTGTCGTATCATTTGTTTTTCTAAGTATAATCTTGAGACTTTATTGGTTTTAAGAATCATACCATTTCTTCCTGTAATAGGAAAAGCGATGCCTGTAGTAAGTGCCAGAATTTTCCAGGCAACAGTTTATATAGCAATTGTGAAGTTAATAGGATTACAAACCTATTTCTATTTTGCTTAACTAGCTATAAGTATATATACTTGTGCCGATCTGTTTTTTATTTTGTTTTATTTTTTCATTTTGCTTCTCTCAGAATTATTTATTTAGAATCGTTTTAACATTGGATTATACAAAGAATAATTTTATCGGAATTGTATATTGCTCATCCACCACAGGCTTGTGTTAAAATCAAATTCTCTTCTGTTTCCATGTTTACGATGGTACTCAATGAAATTTATAACTAGTTTTTGACATGTAATTACTTCTGTCAACCATGAGGTATCGGCATACCTAAATTGTTTTTAGAACTCTGTTCACCTACAAAAATATTACCTTGATGTTTTACAGGACCATAGAAATTATCAGCAAAATATCTACTATAATAAGCAATTTTAGATATTGATTCCCTTACAATGGGACGATATTTCATGTCCTCTAGTAGAACTAGATCATATCTATTATTCTCTAATATACTAGACAGTCTTTTATTTCATTTCAGATTTTGCCTGGTTATGTTTTAATATTAGCTTCCAGTCTTCATAATTTGACAAAATGGTATTTTATGCAGAATATGCATTTTTTACCAATTAAGTACTTTGCCTTAACCAAAAGGGTGTAGTTCATCATGAGACCTCAACTTATATATATAGATTTTAAAACTCATTTTCTTGATACCCAACAAAAATCCAAAATTTAAACCTATAACCAGATATACTACTTTCCTACTCACAATTTGAAACAGTGACCAAGAAGTTTTATTTTGTTATAAATCCTAATTACCATTAAAGTTTTATACCTCTCAAATGAATGAATTGAAGTGAATGCAAAATAACAATTGTTACCATGTATTCTACTGATCAAGGAGTCTCTTTTCTTACAAGAGTGACAAGAAGGTTGGATATTATTGCTTTGAGAAGTTATAATCATATATTTCTTATCTGATTGGTGAATTAAGATTTTGCGCACCAAACCTATCAATCACTATCAATAATTTTTGACTTTGAGTTGAAATAAAAAAATAACATCTTAAATCAAAACGATTGGTGTGACAGAAAAGTATATGCTGGTACAACTAACTATTCAAAATGTAATACATTCCTTCAAGACAGGAAAAATCGTTGTCACACATTGTAAATGTTCTCTCAACCTCTCCATTTGAATATGAAATTGTAGGCTTAATAGGAAATTAAATGTCGATTATAACTGAATATAAAAATATCTTCTGTCCAGTGGCAAAGGCTAAGTTGTACACTAAATGTCTCCAGTGAAACATCTCTATCTTGATGATATTGTTTCCTTGCCATGGCAATCTACTGCGATGTTGAAAAAAAAAAAATCTTACATAAATGTGATTTACGTTTTAGGTAATAAATACGTTAACACACATAGTAGGTTCATTTGTAGAATTGGCCAAATGATATCTATATTGGATTTTTTGATCCTGAAATTGTAGAGTTATTTTAATTTTTGATTTTACTCAACTAAAACTGCTATATTATCTCCCTTATATTTCTTGTTGATTGCGATGTTTAAGCTTAACAGACAGGTTTCTCTTTACAAATGGATTATTGAAAATAACAGTTCTTTATATAGACGTATTTTTGTTTTGCATATTCGAATATGTTTTTGTCTTGGTCTGGATAGTCTGGCAAAAGTTGAACTTATATCGAAATTTATTATTGCCAAATACTACGATAGTATATTGGTATTACTGATGTATTATATATCCTTGACAAGTAATTAACGCAGATTAAGATCAGTTCTATGAATCAGCCACGATTGCCTTTGTAAAATTGATATGTTCATGGTGATGGGTTTTCTCTATTATGGATTACCAAATCCACTTTCATGAACCTTTGGAATATTTAAAAGCTTTCCGTCAGGCTCGATGATACTTACACAAGATGAGTACTATATATTATTGAAGAATATCTTGATTAATCGCATTTCAAATATTACCTTTAGCTTTGATGAAGATATCAGAATTGAATTAAACGTAGTTAATCATCGTTTGAGAAATGTAGTAAGCACATACAGAGCTACTCTTTTAACCATATCCTGCCCGTAACATCAATTATTTAAAAAACATTGGCAGAACAAGATAAACCGGCCTTTTTATATACTAGGTGCTGATATTTCATAAATTTCTTTGTAACGTCATTTTAAATGACATATTTTATTTTTCGATTATATAATATCTACCCAATCTTCCTTTGGATTTTAGAAGGTGGCAAGGTTTTATTGCAAGGTATTCAGTATTTTCTCGATTTTGGTTCCAATTATAATTATGATTATACCTTTCTATATTATTATAAGACTAAATATCCATTATATCAGTCGTTGATATGGATATATATAAGTTAGAGGGATAAAAAGGGACTTCTATTGTAACTGCAAACCCTTTTAACAACACAACATTTAGTACAGTATGGGATATTCTAACAAAATCCACTTCTTCAGGCAATGAATCTCACGTAGGTAACAATATGAAATGAATGTCTACGATATTATATAATCGGCACAAAAAATTGGTACGTATTTCTCCAATCAATAGTGGCCTGCTGATGCAAGCATAATAAGATATTTTGCAAAGTGCACTGGATTGTTATCATTCAAAAATGTATTCTAATATAATTACCAATAAAGCAATATCGTTTAAAATATTTATTCCAATCTCTTAGAATGTCCAAAAACAGATGCATACTTTCATGTATCCTAAAAAAGAAACCGTTGTGAAGCAACCTATGGCAGATGTTCTTCTTCGATTGTCTAAGACCTTTATAACTTATGCCACTCTGACATCATCCGTTAACAACCCTCAAACAAGTTGGACAAATATTGCTTACAGAATCAGAATATATAGCTAACACTACGATGAAAAGGATGGGCAATTGGCAGGCAAAGTAAATGCCAGACAGATCTAAGAGATGAAAACAGTTATCTCAACTTACTTGCAAATATTGACAAATTTGAAAACTGATTAATAAATTAAGTTATCTGTCTATTTATTTAACGATATTCACTATTATAGTTTCTTAGTATGGCTAAATAAAATTATTACATCTAAACCTTCATAAAAATTAGAACAAGAGAAACAATATAAAACATTTACCATTAGATTGCTCATATTTAGTGGATAGCATCGGAGCAAGATATTTCCTTGTAAATTACCAATATAGTATTTCTAAAAATAATGTGCTACCGCAACCTTCCCCATACACTACTGCTACTCCATAATTCAGCATGTCCACCACCCACTTCTATAGATCTTAAAATTCATTAGTGGGTTCTTTAAATCAATATTGAATATTTTAATATATTCCTATTACAGTTAAATCAATCAATTCCTACCCAATTCAGTAGCTGCTTAAAGTGATAGTTGTATCTGATGTATTTTTTAACATCGCGGTTCTTTCTAGCGATGAAATTTTTCAATATCAGATGGAATGAAAATTTTGGAGACAATGATACAAACCAAACAAGAAACTTTTAGATGGGAGGAACCAATACGTGGCAGAATTGTGTTTTCCTAGGGTCTTACTTAATACTGAAATTGGTAGTTACTACTTATCTGTTCAATTAAGTTAGTGCTGAAGCTTGGTTCTAGATTTCTTGGTTTTCTCCCCAGAGATACAGCATTCAAAAACAGAATTCAAAAGTCGTTGCAAGGATTCTTATAAGGATAATGGAAATTTGGTAAAAAGTATGTTGAGGTACTGTTTCTTTATATTTTTTTTAATTTAGTTAACTGTACTCTACTCTGCTGTATTACAGTTTTATTCCACCCATCGATAATGCTTTTTTACGTTTATTCAGCGATAGTGATATTATATGGGAACTTGATAGGGTAGTAGTATTTCTTTTATTTTGTCTTTAACTGAAAATAGAGATGAGTTAGAAATGCACAGGGATGTTTCTTTTTAGTTTTCTTTCTGCTTTAAGCTGTTGGGAAAGTGTTATTGAATTTGGGAACGTGAGTTTATCAGATTGAACAAGTTTTGGTTTTATTAAACACCATTTTCACTACAAATCTTTGTCGGATGAGATACTATCTTTTTTTATTTTGCTTCTTCGAGTATCTTCTGCCAAGAATGTAACTTTAGTGCCAGCTAACACTCCTCTCTGGTTTATTCTATATTACTATATCAAATGTGATAATAATTTTCATTTACAGTTTGGTTCTTTCTATATATAAAATGATGGAAACAAGTTAAATATTATCCCAAGTTGCCCTCCGTCGAGAGTTTGGTATTGATTCTGAACATAAAAGGACTTCAATCTCAGAATTTGAAGTTGCGATAGAGTCAGGTCTTGAGAAAGTACTAACTCAACAGCGATGATTCGTGCTATTGACACTTTTAAACGACTTGTTTTTAGTAGAAGGTCGTTCAGAAGTTATGTTATTATCTGTTTCACTGCTATAATCGTGTTTTTGATATCTCATACTGCTTATAGTAAAGGTGAAAATATTCAGTATGTCTATGATACTATACAGGCTTCTACTAGTCAAAGAAATAGTGATATCTTGAAAGAATCCCTTTCTCAAATTAAAATTAAACCAATTGATGAGGTTCCAGTTACTCCCATGGAATTAATCCCAACATATGATGACATGATTGATTTGAAAAAAGATACTTTCTGGAATCCATTAACTAAGCAATATTACAAGAAATTTGAAGAATTAGATCTAGAAAGTCGTTGTGCTTTTTACTTCCGTCATTTATACACAATGAATGAGAAGTGGTCTAACAGTTTAAGTACTGTCTCATTCTTGATTAATGATGTTGATGAAAAGGCTTTGGATAAGATGAAGGATAAACATGGTATTATGTTAGCTGATGAAGAAACCATTAAGCTACACAAGAGAAAAAATGACATTGGTCTTGCTTTTCAAAGATTAAGATTGTATGACACTTGTTTCCTTCAAAATGAGGATGTCAATATGGAAAGAATTTTTAAAAGAGACGATGGGCATGAATCTAATAACAATGATGAAGCAGAGGATATCGAAAAAGTTTTGAAGAAGGCTGATAACGAATATACTAAAAGAGAAATTCAAGAACCACCAGAATTAGAGTATGATCAGTATGACTTTGAGCATAGAATGTTTCCATTTTTAAATCACTTTAATAAGGATAATTTTACTACACTAATTCCAAAAATTACTATGGTTGATGGTAAGACATTAGAAAAGGGGTATTTGCCTATATTGAACCCTGACGATGGGACAATGACAGGTTCTAGTACTTTTGAATATGATCCTACCATATCTTTCTGGAGTAACTGGAATAAGATGAGTGGTATTGTTGGTAAACGTGGGATTATCTTAAGTTTTGCAGATGGCCATTTAGACTATGCTACAAAACTGATTACGACGTTTAAATATCAAGGTAACAAATTACCAATTCAAATTATCTATAAGACTGGAGATTTAAACTCTCAAACCATCAAAATTTTACAACGTGTTGCAACAGATATGGATATCGATTATGCAAAGATTGATACCGAAGACGAAAGAACACCAGTCCCACAACAGTTGATTTTTGTAGACATCACAGATACATTAAATAAAGATGTGATAGGCAATTATAAAAAATACAAAAACAAGTGGTTGGCTGTAACTTTTAATTTATTTGAAGAATTTATCTTTATGGATATCGATGCAATCAGTTATGTTGATATGAACTACTATTTTGAAACTGAAGAGTACAAGAAGACAGGTACTATATTTTTTAGGGACAGAATTTTATTATTCAATACAGTTGACAGATGTGTTCCTATTTTTGATACTCTACAGCCTAAGATTAAAGAAGCCAAATATTTTGGTAACTTCCCATTCATCGATAGAGATTATGTGACAGATGAATGTGAGAAAAATTTGAGTGTTGAAGAAGTTATCTTTAAAAGATATTTTGATGATCATTATCAACATCAGATGGAAGCAGGTCTTTTAGCAGTTGATAAGACAAGACATGTTATTCCTATGGTCATAGCCTCGATGTTGCATATGTCTAAAAAAACAGAAATTTGTAACTACGGTGATAAAGATTTTTTCTGGATAGGTTTTGTCGTTGCTGGCCATCCTTATTCATTCCATTCTGTAAATGCAGGTACAGTGGGTAAGTATGAAAGAAAAAAGAAGACTAGTACCACCGAAGAAGGTTCAATATGTGCTATTCAAATTGCCCATATGTCTCATGATGATCATCTTCTATGGTTAAATGGTGGTGCTAATAATTGTAAAGTTGACTCAGCCAAAAAAGATTGGGCGCATGAGAAGATGGGTCCCTTTTTGAAGAAAAAGTTTAAAACATTTGAAAGATTAAAGAAATGGTATAGTGTAGACCCTATTGATACAGAATATGGTATGGTTTCAGCAGACAGATATGATGCATGGGGTGGATATATTGGTAACTGTAAAGGTTATGTTTGGTGTTTACATTACTCTAAAAAATTGAAAGATTTTAGCTTTGATGAAACAGTTGAACGTGGTAGATTGATCAATTTCAGTAAAGATGAACAAGCACAACTTCTAGCAACTAACACTGTGTGGACTACATTTAATTTGACTGATTATAAAATAAATATGAAGAAGGAAAGCAATGAAAAATCAAAGCTCAAATCAAATTGATTCGAGTATATATGTACTATTAATTTTCAATATTATTACAAATTATTTTTTTTCTATTCACGGCTCATCTATTCGATTAAATAGTAGGTGTAATATTTTTATACCAAAATTTACATGTATAATATAATAAAAAGTAAACTAATGAAGAGATCTATTTCATAATATTTTTATAGATATGTAGCAGGATAGAGGTTTCAGGGACGAGTGGTGCAGCTTGACCATAATCTGAGGAACTACGATTCGTTAAATAATAGATGTAATATGTGATACTTTTTTAACAATTACTATAAATTTAATTCAAGTAAATTGCATAAGTTCAGTGTCATGTTGTAAATTATTAAACTTGGTTAGACCTTTCTTTATATGGTTTCTGTTGCGAATACCAGTGAGTAGTGAGTGCAACGAAAGAAAGGAAGTATCCAGTAATATCAATTAATAATCATCTAATTAATAGAAATGCCTTGATTAAAGATACCTTGGATTTAATAGGTTCAAAATTTATTAATTTTCAACCTTCCTAACTTCGGAATGGCTTAAAAACATCTCTATTACCATATTCGTCCATCGCGAATGCGGCATATTCTTCCTCATCGGCTCGGAAGTTATGCCATAAAAACGGCAATATAGCTAACCACTATGCTTAGTAATATGATCCAAGGATGATGAAATATATAAACCATGAGACAGATAGCACTTTGGAAATAATTTTACTTTGTTAACTCAATATATTAAATTGATATTAGAAGAAAAGGTCTAAAATAGGAAGTCAATCTCTTTATATTTGATTGCTAGACCCATATTAAGCTTTTAAGTGAAAAAGGAAAAATATATCTCTAACCTAATTAATATGTCTGTTTTTGTTTCTGGTGCAACTGGGTTCATTGCTCAACATATTGTCAATGATCTTTTGAATCAAGGTTATAAGGTTATTGGTACTGCAAGAAGCCAAGAAAAGGCTGATAAATTGATTAGACAATTCGGTAACAATCCAAACTTGTCCATGGAGATAGTTTCTGATATCGCTCAATTGGGTGCATTTGATAAGGCTATTGAAAAGCATAGCAATGATATTAAGTATGTATTACATACTGCTTCCCCTTTCCACTTTGATACTATCGAATATGAGAAGGATCTGTTGATCCCTGCAGTTAATGGTACAAAGGGAATTCTTGAATCTATAAAGAAATATGCTGCTGATAAAGTGGAACGTGTAGTTATTACATCTTCTTTTGCTTCGGTAGTCAATGTTGAAGATCAAGCTAATTCTAAAATCGTTCTAACTGAAAAAGACTGGAATACTGTCTCTTGGGAGGGTGCTCAGAAAGATGGTATTTATGCTTATTATGGTTCTAAAGCATTTGCTGAGAGAGCTGCATGGGATTTCTTGAAAGAAAACAGAGACAGTGTTAAATTTAAACTCACTGCAGTTAACCCTGTTTACGTTTTTGGTCCACAATTGTTTGATGAAGATGTTAAGGCACAACTAAATACATCTTGTGAGTTTATTAACGAATTGGTTCATGCTGATCCAGAAACTAAGATTGATGCAAGTGTCGCTGGTAATTTTATTGATGTTCGTGATGTTTCTAAGGCACATTTATTGGCTTTCCAGAAGCAAGAAACTGTCGGTGAAAGGTTAATTTTGTCAAATGGCCCATTTGGTAAGCAGGATATTATAAATGTTTTAAATAAAAACTATCCACAATTAAAAGGTAAAATTCCACCAAGCAATCCAGATACAGATGCTAAGATTGGAAAAAATGCGTGTGGCGTCAACAATGAAAAGTCAAAAAGTATACTAGGTTTCAAATTTATGGCATTCGAAGAAACTGTTTGCGATACCGTTAACCAAATCTTGAAGAAAGAAAATAAATTTTAAGGATTTAATAACTGTATAGATAGAGATTTCAAATACTGTAAGTAAAAAATGTAGATATACAATAAAAAATATGATAATTATCAAGCTATGCATAGCGTCATATTAACGTTAGAATCATATCTTGCCAACGAAGAAAAAAATTCTGATATCCTAATTTAAAAAAGAAAATTAACTTAGATACAACAAGGTTAAAAATAAATTTAGATTAAATATTTGCAGCTTCTAAGAGTAAATCTGGTTGATTCAGCAGAAATAAAACCTAGACTGTATTTTTGAGAACTTAATAGGTACCTGGAAAATTTCCTTATCAAGAAAATTCATATATCTTAAAAGATAGAAATTAAAAATTCAGATTTGACAATTCAACATGCTATATCATGAAAGACTTTTTATATTATTGATTAGAAAAATGTAATATATATATTAATTAACTTTATAATTCGTTTCTGTTTAAGTGTAAGCATAATTTTAAATATTTCGTAACACGTAACTTACTTAAGATTAAGTGAATCTCTTGTACCATGGCTTGTCATCATGCAAAGCAGCTTCAGCATCGTAACCACCTTCTCTTTTAGAAGATGGGATCCAGCCAGCTGACTTCCATGGCAAGACACCTTCTTCGTACATTTCGTTAACTTCTTCTAAGGTCAAACCCTTAGTTTCACAGACGAAGAAGAACACATAGAACCAAGCGAAGACCAAACAACCCATGAAAACATAACCATAGGCAAAGTGAATGGCACCAGTAATGAAAGGAGTGAAGAAAGAAATCAAGAAACCCCACAACCAGTTAGCACCAACAGATAAAGCAATAGCTCTACCTCTGATTCTCAATGGGAAAGTTTCAGAAACGATAACATAAGGAATTGGAGCCCATGTAGTAGCAAAACAGAAAATAAAGAAACAGGTGAAAACAATCATACAGTTACCAGCACCTTCTGAAGTGTACTCTTCACGTTGACCATAACCACGAGGATATAATCTAGTAACACCGACAGAGGCATAAACGACGAAACAACACATCATAGTTGCGGCACCCCACAACAAACAACGACGACGACCAAATCTTTCGACAGTCCATAAACCAACGAAAGTAGAAGCGAAGTTAACAACACCGATAACAATAGCGGCTTCAAAACCATCATCCAAACCAACAGAAACAAATAATGTAGTACCGTAGTAGAAGAAATAATTGTTACCAGTCAATTGTTGTAATGATTGGATCATAACACCCATTAAAACTCTGTGGAAGATCTTACCTTTTGTAACAAACAATTCAGCCCAGGAAGCAGAACCAGCAGCTCTTTCAGCTTCAACACCAGCCATAATTTCTTCCATTTCGTGAATGACAATTGGATCATCGACAGTACATTTGTTACAGATAGCCAAAGATCTCTTAGCTTCTTCTAGTCTACCTTGTTGAGCCAAGTATCTAGAAGATTCAGGGACCAAAGTCATACCACCTAACATAAACAAAGCCCAAGCAAAGGACAAACCTAATGGAACTCTCCATTGAACAGAGTTATGATATTTTTTGGTACCATAGTTAGTACAGTAACCCAAGAAAATACCACCAGTAATCATTAATTGATAGAATGCGACAGCAGTACCTCTTAAATGGGATGGAGCAGTTTCGGAAATCAAGGTTGGACACAAAACAGCAATACCACCAACACCCATACCAGAAATAATTCTACCGATGAAGTATTGGTACCATTTGTTGATAGAAGCAATGGAAATAATAATACCGATAACGTAGACAACAGTAACAATCATTAAACCGATACGACGACCATACATATCACCGGTTCTACCTAAAGTTAAACCACCAATACAACAACCAATGTTAAAGATACCAACAACCAAACCAGTTCTAACCTTAGAGAAATAATAATCATTTTTTACGTGGTCGTAAGAACCAAATCTTCTTAAGAAATCAGTTTGACTGACAAAACCAGAAATGGTACCAGTATCCCAACCGAAAATAAAACCACCGAAGGCAATCATTAAACATAAGGCTAAGACACCAGCATATTGACCGATTGGACCAGTAGCAGGAACGACATAGTCAGATTCATGTTTTAAATCGATGTCATCACCGGATGATTTATTTGATGCATTAGATGAGTGAGATGGTGAGTAAGCGACCTTGGCACCATCGGAGGCACCGACTTGGGCCTCAATACTTTGAGTTTCAGCAACTTCTTGTGACATAGTTAGAATGTCTTATTGATGAGTAGTTGATTGTTTTTGTAGAGTAACAGGAGAGATGAAAATAAATGTGGATGTAAAATGGAAACCCACAATCGAAATCAAAATTTTAAGTTTGTGAAAAAAACTTGGAGTTTATATATCAAAAATTTTGAACTACATTTTTGATGAATCCCAAGGTTGAGAGGGAAAAGAAACAATAAAAAGCATTTCGACACTGTCGATTCAAGGTGAAAGATGAATACGAATAAAAATAAAATCTGGGACAACTAAAGTTTCGAGTCTCTCTCTAGCTACCTGATGCAGAAAAAGAACTCAGAAAAGAAAGCAAATAAGAAAAAAGACTGTTGTTTTTTCTTATCTCTAAAATGCCTTCAAACAAAACCCCATATACTATTCTCTTTACATTTTTCACTTCCACTCAGGTATTAAGATTACTATTAGGCTGCTATTGTTATTTTCTTATTATTATTACTTTTTAGTGGGCCAAAAGCAACGTAATGTAGTGGATATTTTCTTTTTACATTTCAATTTGATCCACAAATAGCAGTATAATCTCTTAGCCAACAGTTATAGAGACAAAGACCATACCTGTCTTGAACCAACATCATCTCTATCCGCTGTCGTTTCTTCTCGAACCTCGTAGTTTCGAAATGACCAACCAGTCAGTTTTCTTAAGATAATCCGGTATCCCGGTACAAAAGGACAATTATTCCGGAGAGAGTCATTTGAGAAAGTAAAACAGCAATGATGAAAAAATCGAGGGGAACACAGTAGAAAGTTCCTACTTCCACAATATATCTCATTCGATCGAGATGAAATTAAATTTTAGCTAATGATTTCTTCAGGTAAGAAATGGAATAAAAGAAACATCACGAAAAAAGTACAATGAAATCCAGTTAAAGGAGGGACCAAGCGGGACCAAGCGGGACCATCAAATATTCAATGATAGGTGATAAATGAAATCATGGAGAGTAATTTCAGATAAAGAAGAGTGAGAAGAGCGATTGTGACGGTTGAAAAGAAACGGTTCGTAAAACAAAAGAGAAACCATTGTAGATATTGTATTGTCAATTTGGCCCGGTAAGCAAAAGTTGGTAAAAGTAATGATAATGCCTAACATTATTATTTTTCTCAGGCTGATGATGACAAATTGCTAATTATTGTCAACATACTGGTCAAATCGTCATTGGCTAAGTGAAAAAAAATTTTATCAAGTCTGCTGGTCTAGGTGAATATCTCTGGAAATCAGAATTTTTCCGGGCAAAGGGGGTGAAGGCAATAAAGACCGAGAGCCCTCAGAACAAGCTGTATACAAAAAGAAGAAAAAGACGAAAAGAGAAAAACGAAGATAAAAGAAAAGAGGGACTTTTTCCGGCTTTGTTAGAGGGCGATCGGATAATCTTGTATATCTTTTCTTTTGAGGTAATTTATTTTAGTACGAAATGCCAGGTTCCGCTAGCTTGTAAAATTATTTGCAACCCAAGTGAAAGAAAAAAAAGCTACCAGCAAGCAAGAAAAGAGGATGTGTGAAAACACTAAGGGGCTGAAGTATTAACTCTGAGGGGCAGAGAGCAAGTATAGGTGCTGAGAAGGCAAAAGAAATCTTCTTCTTTTCTGTTGTTGTTGAATCAAATTTATCAGTAACAGCCGGAAAAACTTTTACACCACCCTACAATTGTATTTAATCGTACCGTGGCTCAGATTTGTATAGGTTTCGGACCCGCGGAACAACAGTAATATATCTATCATTCTCCTTCTGATATTTCTTCCTTACAAGCTGTAGAGCTGCGCACAAGTTGTGTCTATGAACGGATATTTATTCAGATATTGAATTTAATTTCACCGCGTTCTGTAGGGAGCTGTCTTAGAACAAAAAAATTTTCTTTCAACCACAACGGAAATACGGAATTACTCTAAATATATTTATGTTCGTGTTCGAGTGTGTTGGGAAAAACTCTAAACATATAATTTTCCCGATTTGTCTCACCTCATTACTGTATCTTCTCGGAGAAAATGTGTTGGTTGATAGAAGATCTGGTCTCTATGGGAAAGTTTTCATACCATGTCCGCTGGGTGCTAACAACACAATTCCAATAGATATGGGACTTCAGGACTCTTAATATCTCAATATCTGAATATCAGAAACCAAAATCAAATTATGCGTTTAAAGATGTCTACAGCGTTATCTGACTTTGACAGCTCGTTCATTGCATAAGGTGATGTTAGAAATCGGAACTTCTATCGAATACATCTACGAGTAAGAAAACCACCATTACTAATATTATTGCTATTGCCAGTAATATCGTGTATTTCAATTAGTGGTATAAACTAAAAAAAGCATATCTGTTTCGAATAGGGTTTGTTGGTCAATTTACCAAAGACACAGCTAGCAGCCTCTTGATGTTTTATCTACAAGATACGCCAACAAAAGCTGAGGCAATATTCTCATTGGTGTAACAACTCAGCTGAAAAGAAAAAAAAACATCAAAATGCAAGAAGAAAAAAAATAGAGAAAAAGAAAAAATCCTTTAGTAACGGGAGAAACAGTCTGGGTACTTTCTCAATGAATGAATAATACTTTGATAGTTCACCTTGGTCTGGATACGCTTTTTGAGGGTATATTTATTGTTACACATAATTATCTCACTATGATGAAATCGATGAAGCACCTCCACCATAATTTAAAATTAAAGATAATTTCTAGTCGAATATAACCACAAGAATACATTCATTATTGATGGAAAACCCCATGGGTAAAAAAACAAATTATAACAAAAATCTGTCACTTAACTTTGCTTTTGTTTAAAATTAAAAGTGGGGAGAAGGGAGGGGAAGTGGGACAGACAGTGTCTTTAAAGAGAGTAGAAACTGGCAACTAAATATTTTATTATTATTATTCTTGCGTTACATCAAGTAATTATACATATTTAAAAAATTGTCAAGCTAGTGCTCTGCCTCTTCGTTCATTAAAGAGTTATTCACTTCATTTCCTCTGACCAATCTCAACTCCTACTTTAGAAAAACTATCGCTGTATGAGAGAAATCCACGTATTCGTAAAATTACTCCGGACCTTTACTACTGTCTGAACAGCTTTACATCAAGAGCTATATGCAATTGGTGGATTATACAGATTTCATAATGAAGTGGGACAGTGTCTTAACTCCAGAGTATTCGTATTATATTGTTTCTGAATACCATTGAAGTTGTAATACATTGCACATTTCGTTTTTTGAAATTTGAATTTCTTGTTCTTGAGATATCTTAATCCCCAGGTTAACAGCCCACGCAGCTTTGCTATCCCAGCCGTTTATCTCCAGCCATGTCTTCACCCCAGAGAATAGACTGAACTTGAAAAAGCAAAGAAGACCCACCTGGATGGATTATGCGTTTTGAAGTTTTGGTCTTCCTGCAAAGTGAGAATTTTTAAATATCTGCAAATGTTGTCAATTGGACAAGTGGTAAATAAGAAAGACAATGCAGAGAAATTAAGTGGGGGAGGCATATGGTGAGGAACGAAGATCTATTAACTCGTCGTTCCCCAGAGTAGCAATCCCATTGGATGAGGCTAAAAAAGAATTGATCTATATACTGTTGTTCGTTTATTTTTAGACTGTTCTTTTAAACTTTATACTTCTATATATCATTGTATAGATTTTTATTTTTATTTCTTCTTATTACATGTCATTGCGTTAAAGTTCGAAATGTGCTGTCTACCAGATCTTTGAGCTCTTTGTAACTGATGATAATACAATTCATTTCATCGGGGGTCACAAGCATTATTTTCTCATGAACACCGGCATCTAATTTGTTAAGACATCTCAAAACATGTGTTAAATCCATTACTGCTTTACCTGTTTCATCAACTTGGTGGAAAACGTAGTCATAGAACAATATAATTGGGAATTTCTCTCCCGTTTCTGACCATTTTATGTCAACACGAGACTCCATACGGCCAAATATACAGTTTAACTTGCACATTAATCTAAATAATCGACCATTTTCTAGTTCTTTTGACAACACACCTTCTGTGTGTTCTGTCAAACTTTGTGCTGCATCTAATGTATCGAAAAGCTTATCATAGAATAAAGAACATAATTCCTTGATATTTTTCTTGTCATTATCCTCATCTAATAAATAATTTAGGACTGATTTGAATTGTTCATCGACAGGTAGCTCGTCAACACTTCCATTTTTATTAGCTGTAGAAATATTGTTGGATAATTTCTTAAGTACCTCACCCAGACGGTA